CTTTTAGAGCCAAACATACCAAATATTAGAGCTGTACGTTTAATATCGAACAAAAATCAATAATTCAAATTGAAAAAAATTATTGGTTTAGCGGTTTAAATAACGATTTTAATTTTTTTTATTATCGAATTATCAACTCTTAACGGTTTGTGATTTTTTCTTAACGAGTTAACTAATAATAACCGGAGAGTAAATTAAATAATTATATTTATACCATTTGGTGTATAAAGTCCTTGACTTAGGGGCCGTTTGGTTACTGGTTAGAGTTATGCAGGTATTAGTTATGCAGGGTTTAGTTATGCAGGTATTAATTATGCAGGGTTTAGTTATGCAGGTATTAGTTATGCAGGGTTTAATTATGCGGGTATTAGCTATGTGGATATTAGTTATGTAGGTATTATTTAGTTATGTAGAGATTACAATACATGAATTATTAACTATTATATTAAACTTGTAGTAAATTATTAATATATATTATTTACAAAATAATAATACATGTTAATAAAATGTGGAATATATTGAATAATATACAATACTAATATTTTTATTTTTTTTTTAATCAACATTGGACCATGTCTATTTATTCATCAAATAAAAATGTGTCCAAACAAGGTCCAAGAGTGACCAAGTCGATCAACAAAATAGACAAAACAAAAACAACTAGAAATAATCTAATTTGGAAACAAAAAAATCCTAAACTGATAGAACAACTCCAGCATAATGCTAATATTTGATTAGCATATGTACCGTCAAAAAATATACAATCAAATCTCTAATATTAAAAAAATATTTATATTTGCATAAATAAATAAAAACGGTAAATATAAAAAAAAATGAAAATAGTCTATATATAAAAAGAAATAAAAATAACAAACGTAGATAGGAAAACAGTAAAGTTTCCAATTAAATAAAATAAAATAAATTAAAAGAAATGAAAATGATCTATATATAAAAAGAAATAAAAACAACAAACGTATATAGGAAACAGTAAAGTTTCCAATTAAAAAATAAAAAATAAATTAATAGGGTAAATATGTAATCTATCATTTTAATACATGTATAACTAATACCCACATAACTTATTTCACCTTCTACCCTGCATAACTTTATACATAGATTCCCTCATAAGTTATGTTGGTATTAATTATGTAGGACTACAAAAATGCAACCAAACACCGTATAAATTAATACATGAATAACTATTATACAACATTTAAATTCTTACCAACCAAACGTGGTATAAGTTATGCTGACTTTTATACCTAATACAAAACTTCTACCAAACACAGTAAAGCTAATGCAACTTTTATACATGAATAAGATGTCTCTTATACAGTAACCAAATGACCCCTTAGAGTTTAGTTTCATATTTATATTTCTGTCTGTCTCAAACTCTCGGTTATTAAACAATGTGATAGTGTTTGCTTTGGAGCAAGATGCAGTCTTTCAAATCACGTGCTTGGTTCATTTGATTTGTCACTTTCTTTCTAAGTGATTTTTCATTAAAAAAAAATCTGTCAAATGACTCAAATTTTTAAGGGAAAAAGGACAAATATACCCCCGAACTATCATAAATACCCTTCGTTATACTTTTAGGATGCTGATGTCCTTACCGTCCAAATTTTGGGGCGTATATATCCTTTCTACTAACAACGGAACACGTGTCACAATCTAAAATATTTACCCGATTTTTATTACAATTTTTACCCATTATTAAAAGATTCACCCATATTAATTAAAACCCCACCCAAAGAACATAATATCCATTCCCAAGTTATAACCCAAAACCCTCAAAACACTTATTAATATCTGCACTTTGTCCTTTGTTTTTTCCTCTTCCTCTACGACCTGTCATTCGAATTTTTGGTGTATCCTCGTTCATCAATGATCAACCCATTTTGATCCTCAATTCAATTATAAACAGACCCATTGGATTTTTGTTAGCAATTGCAAATTTCATGATGGGATTGGTCCTAATTTACCGTGGAAAGGTAATACCGTAATAGTGTCATTTAGAGATGGCTGCTTCCATTTAATAGCCCTGATGAAAATGGTAATCTTGATGTGGCTTTTCTATTTGTGTCGGCCATCAAAATTCATCAGTTCAAATTTAATTAATTAATTATGTGGAGGGCTGAGTTCGTTTGGGATTTGCAGGAACATTTTCCGTGAACAACAGCTTGAAAATCGAAGAACTTGGCCAGAAATCAGCCAAATTCGACCAAAATTCGGAGGATGAGAAACGGAGAAGATGGAGAAGTGTTTTGAGGGTTTTGGGTTATAATTTGGGTGGGCATTATGTTATTTGGGTCGGTTTTTAATTAATATGGGTGGATCTTTTAAATATGGGTAAAAATTTAATAAAAATAGAGTAAATGTTATAGATTGTGACACGTGTCCCGCCGTTAGTAGAAAGAGTATATACGCCCCAAAATTTGGACGTTAAGGACATCAACGTCCTAAAAGTATAACGAAAGGTATTTAGATAGCATTTACAATAGTTCGAGGTATATTTGTCATTTTCCCCAATTTTTAATGTTAAAACCGATATCGATCAATAACCAATAAACCAACAACTAGTAATCCAATATCTTATGGTTCTATGATGATTAAGTATTTCTACAAATCAATAATTAATAAATCGAACCGATAAAATTTAAAACTGAACCGAACCGACTGATATGCAGCCCCACCAAATATTCCCAAATAGTTTATGAACCTCCTTGAATTTTGTATAAAATGATTGGCCAGGCTAGACTAGTCTCATCTCGATGAACATGTGGGTTCCTTAGTGTATTTTTAGCATAGACTAGTGGATCCACTTAGTAGTTAAGTTTTATACCCTGACAAGGTATAGGACGTCCCTGACAGCGTGAGGCAAAACACTGTATCATCACATAGCTCATAGTGATGGTTGTCGGTTAGAGAAACTCCCACAAAGATATTTTTGTATTCTTATATACATAGAGTTATTTGTATTTTCAATACAAACAGAGTTTAAATTGTATCCTTGCATACAAACTGAGTTACTATTGTATATTCTTCAAATACACAGAGTTGTTATCCGCATGTTTTAAGAGTTTTTCTTTATATTGCATTTATATTACTGTTTTATATTGAAATGAGTTGAGTTGAGACCAGGTATGTTCCTTCAGTTCCTTTCAAGGTTATGTCTTGTTTTAGAATTCCCCTCCCATGCTCGTATATTCAATATACTGATGTCATTTGGCCTGTATCTTTTATGATGCAAATACAAGTAATCAGGATCAACATCCAGCGCATCGTTGATCCAGTTGAGTTTCAGAGTTGTTAGTGAGCCTCCTTGCTTCCGGAGGATCCCCTTTTTATTATTTTCATTATTCTAGTTCATTAGGATGTCGTGGGTCTTGTCTCGATGTCCATCTAAGTTGTTAGAGGCTTCATAGATAGTTAGTTATTGTCAGCTCATGAGTCTTTTCCTTTTTCAGTATTGATGTTGAGACTTGAGTTGCCATTTTGGCTAGTTGAATGTTTCTGTTAAGACATTGTAAGTTTATTGCATGAGTTTATCCTTTGAGACTGTTTTCATGTTAGATAAGTATTTTGCTAAGAGTTAAGTCAGGCCAAGGGTTCGCTTGGGCTAGCAATGGTTTTCGGGTGCCAATTCCGCCCAGGGTGTAGTATCGGGGCGTGATAAACATATTAACTAGTTAATATAGCTATAGTTTGGATTAATTACCATTCGCCACTAATTTCTAAACAAAATTACGCGCTGAGTTACAGTCGATAAACGTGTCGGTCGAGTTTCAATTGTATAAACATCTAGTTTTCAGAATTTTGTATATTATAATTTGTATAACTTTTGTCTAATGTAATTTGTATAATATAATTTGTATAACTGTTTAAAGTTTAGATATTTGTGTTTGTATAAATTCATTATTTCGAGTTTTATCATATTTGTATAATTTTGGAATTTGGATAATATAATTTGTATAACAATTGTTACTACTCTGTTTATACAACCACAAACAGAAATAACTCATTTATACAAACACTTATTCCACCAAAACTATAATTATCAATCGATTCAATCAATCGAAAATAGTTTATATAAAAATAAATATAAATCAATTTATACAAATATGGACGACACAAATTATACAAACATACGAGAATTATACAAACGTCGCAAATTATATAATGAGGTCACTCATAACAACTTTTTTTTTGGTTGCCCATAACAGTTTAAACTATAGCTACAGCCCGTAAATATACAAAATATAGCTAAGGAGCCTAATTAAGTTTATTATAGTGGCTATTTGCGAGATTTCCTTGTGCAAATAAAGACAATAGAGAGGTTCTATATCATCTTATCTATGTTTCTCCTTTATTATATACTAGATTAGTCCTAATTTATTATCATTAATTCCACCTGGAATTAAGATTATATCATGGAGAGGGGCCAAAAAGGAAAAATAAACACGGTCTAATGCCAAGGAAATGAATATCTTATTCACTTTGTCCCAATTTATGTGACACATTTCGTTTTTTGAGAGTCAAACAATTTAAATTTGATCCAAAATTTGCTCATGGAATCTTCAATTTTTTAAAAATGAAATTTATATATTTGTAAACTATGTAAAAAATAATATAAATCACAATAATAGATAATTCAAAATATTTAAAAGATCTATGAAAATTTACTAGCAAAGATAGACTTGTTTGAATCTTGAAATCCGAAATATATCAAATAAATTGAGACATAGGAAGTATTAGTTTCACCAAGAAATTATTAAATCCCGGAGAGTTGGTCTTATCTTCAAAGATACACAAGCATAGATAGATTCTACAAATAGAATAACGTAGCCTTTTGACAACCCAAATTCAAACAACACGCAGACTTACTCGAGTAGTTGAACACTTCCACTCCACCATTAACTTAGTCAGTGCTGGATGGTAAAAGGAAAAACTTTAGTACTTAATTTGCTCAACTGTAAACCTTAATTAGTCTACCCCAACATCTACAGTGGAATAGGAACAGCTAGCAGAGGTTGATCTTTTGCCAATGTGATACCAAATTTTTCCTCCATGTTCAAATCATTAGGTGCAATTCCACCATGTAGCTTCCAATTAAATGTATTTATCAATGAACCTAGCGCGACTGGAATTATCCTGCTAGCCAAAGGCAATCCAGGGCAAATTCTTCTACCAGCACCAAATGGAATCAACTCAAAATCCCGACCTCTAACATCTATTTCTGACTCCCAAAACCTCTCTGGCTTAAAATCCAAAGGGTTCTCCCATATGCCAGAGTCGCGCCCAATTGCCCATACATTCACTAGAACTTGCGAGCCTTTTGGAATAGTATAGCCACAAAGCTCAACATCTTCCTCCACTTTGCGAGGAATTAATAAAGAAACTGGTGGGTGTAATCGTAATGCTTCTTTCACGGTGCATTGCAAGTAAGGTAACTGTGCAACATCAGCTTCATCTACTAGTTTGCCTCTGCCAATTACTTGTGCAAGTTCTTTTTGTGCTTTCTCCAAAGTATGTGGATTCTTAAGTAGTTCTGCCATTGCCCACTCCAATGTATTTGATGTCGTATCTGTCCCTGCTACAAACAAGTCCTGCAAAACTTACTAGTGTAAGATCATATAATCTAGTAAAACGTTCCATCACATGCTACATGTTGAAAATATATTAAAGATACGATAATTAACTAGATAGAGATGTTCGATATGATTCCTGTCGATTTCTTCAGGGCTAATGCTGAGAAGGGCATCTAACACATCAACTTTTTCACGATTTCCCATTTCCCTTTCCTTTAACCGCTCATCAATCAAACTACTCATAAGTTGAAGAACCTTGCTAAAATGATTTGTCAAGCGCCGCCTTATGCCTTGTGGATCAATCTTTTTTAAAAAGGGGAAAAAATCCACCAAATTGGGTTTACCAGCCTCAGCCATGATATTCCACACCAATTCCTTAATTTCCTTATCAGAATCAGAGAATGGATCAGTCAAATCTTTAGAGAAAATAGTGTTGGACAACAAATTTAAGGAAGTTCTAAAAGCTGCTCTGCCAATATCCACTGCTTCACAATTTTGCCCACTCTTGTGACAATAATCAATCAACTCCTCGATTTTTTTTGTCCTGAGATGCTTATTAGCGTCCAGCTTGTTGCCAGAGAAGATGTGAGAGTTCATAATCTTACGAAGCGTTCTCCACTGTGAGTTGTTGACAGGTAACCACACAACAGAGAAATCAGATTGATTGCAGGCACGAAGTGCGTCTGGAGCAAACCTATTGGAAAAGGATAAATCTTGCTTTTGCATTACTTCTTTAGCCAAGATTGATGAAGAAATGACGACTGTGTTTATTTTCCCCAATTTCAGATTCATAATTGGACCATATATTTTTGCCAGTTGAGCAAGTGATATTTGTGGTTTATGACCAAGCAAGTGAAGATTTCCGATAATAGGCAGAGGGAATGGACCTGGTGCAACTCTTTTGCTTCTTCTTCTAAGTGAAATAACAACTCCACGCACCAAAAAACAGGCGAATAAAACTCCTACCAAAATGTTCACGTACTCCATATTTCTCCTCTTCCGATAATTTGCTTGGCTCAATTAGGCTGCTTTTATCTTGATCTATAATGAAGTGAGCAAGGTTTTCATTTATTTTTAAATCTCTGTTCATTCAAGACAAAACTTTAAACAGATCGATCTGCGTCTTTCTTGTGATCTTGTCTGTTCACGTATCTTCTTTAATTTTTTAATTAATGTTTATGAGTTATTAATGCAAATGGTGTCAGGCTCCACTGCCTCCACAGAATTTCTTATTTTATGTATTAGATTAGATATAATACACGCAAGTGTATTTTAACGAAAATGTTGTAGTTTCAAAGAAGTAGTAATAGTAGGGTGGAGATAAGTTTTTGCATACACATGTTATTGTTATTGTTGCGGATATTAGATGTGGTTGTTGGCTGTTTTGCTTGAATGTCCACCTGCCCGTTCACCATTATTGAAAAGGTAGGCATTTCGGGTGTGTTTTGTATGGAGGAAAATATTTTTTTTGGAAAATAAGTTGGTTTCTACTTATTTTCTCATATTTGTTGATGAGTGAAAAATATTTTAGTGTATGATTGATGATATCTTATCTTTTATTTTTGGGTAGAGAGTAGAAAATACTTTTTAGAAAAATGTTATAAATTTAATTTAACAATGTTATATTTTAAAATATCCGCGCGACGCGCGGACACGAATACTAGTATTGAATAATAGAAGAAGAGAAAAAACTCCCTAAAGTTGATTTCTTGTTCTAGGTTTCCGCATATTTATTTAACACTGATGTGTATAATAATAAGCGTATGAATCTAACAGCAAAATTTATAGCAACTATAAATACCTATCTACCTTTCTTTCATATGAATAAAAAGTTGCAGGCAAAACAGAGTAGGGAAAGAGTGTTAAATATGATTTACTTGGTTGAGAAAACTTTTGGTATTATGCTCTCGTCTCTCTCTACCATTTCAGTGAATTTTAACTGCTCACATCTTTTTTATATTTCACAACTCATATTACAGAAATCATCAATTAGTGTAAATGAGACATAAAAATTGTCATTACAAGAACTGACACAGTTTTATTATCACACCACACTCTTCAATACACACCACAATCATATATATACAGTATTATTTTCCGAGTTGAAAGCAACAACAACTATTTATTCAAATCAATTATTTAACGCGGAACAACATGAGATCGAGCGAGGACACATTAATTAATGTAGTCGAGATGGATCAATTGTATTTATCGGCAATCTCCAAGAGAGTGTCACAAAGTTTTTTTGTCATACTTAGCATTGCCATATGATCAGCACCTTTAATTTCCTTTGCTTCAGTGACACCAATGTTGTCAATTTGCCATTGTTGGAATTCTTTTGATATGCCTTTATCCTCTGTACACACTATATAAACTCTCTTCACTGATCCATATCCTTCATCTGTGAAATACTTCGCCTTCGACAAATCTTCCAGAAACAGAGAATTTGTTCTCACCAATGATAATACTAATGCAAGATCCTACCACATTATCATTTAAATGTAAGATTACTTCTATTTCGACGAAAAATAAAAATGAGGTATATAATAAAAGAGTAAAGATTACCTCAGGATGGCTTAACTGGTAGAGCTTGTAAGCCAAAAATTTGGGACCAAAAGTCATGGATGTGAGTGGCTCTTCAGGGGTACCATATGGTAAAAATTGGGTATCTAACCAATTCTCTGCTGGTGTCCGTTCATTGTACTTCACAAATTTTACATTCAAATTGGATTTATAAGTCAAATAATATTTTTGTGATAAAATGCTCATATTAATCGTTGTTTTTTAAGAAGGGTATAAAATCTGAACAAGTAAAAATGAACCAAGAGAGAGTAAATACTGAAAACAAATTATTAATTCGTAAATTCCAAACAACAAAAAAATTGAAAGGTACAGTTGGAGAAATGCGCAATACAGAAAGTACTCAGCAATCACATTGATTGGTAATTTCCCCATAAGTAGAACCTGAAATGACGCTATTTTCTGTTACTTCAATTATTGTTGTTATTTCTAACACAGTAGTCAAGCTGTATTTTTACCTAAAATATCTATGTGCTTACCTAATAATTAAGTATATGCACAATGGCAGATCTAGACTAGACTAGACGAAACGTAACTTAAACTCATTTTTCCATTTTTACTTGTCTATTGAATACCATATATGAAAAGAATACGTAATTAGGTCATTCTTTTTTAAACGAAATGAGCTAGTAGTATATTATACTCACCTTATCCAAAACATAGGATGAGATATGAATAGAATCAGGCATGAAGGCAGCCAAGAAAACAGCAGCATAGATCTTTTGTGGGTATTTTTCCATAGCAAGTCCCAAATTCATACCACCAAGACTATGCCCCACTAGTATGACTTTCTCCTCTAGTGGAAGAGATTCCATCAATTCCAATAATGGCAAAGTGTAATCATGAAGTGTGCGAAGTTGCTCTAGTTTTCTCAAATCAATGCCAGAGGCTGCTAAGTCAAGAGCAGTGACCTTGTGGCCTGCATCCTCTAGCAATGGTTTTAGCTTGTACCAACACCAACCTCCATGGCATGCTCCATGTACTAGAACAAAATGTTTTCCTTGTTTCTTGTTAGCTTCCATTTTTTAGGCCTTGTGATTTTTCTTGTGTTTTTTTTTCTTTGGTTTAGTCTTGAAGAACTATGAGATGGGTTATATAGTAGTTTGGTGGACATTAGAGCATGGGAAATTTATTATGAATGACATGTTGTTTTGGGCAGACTTAGAAAGAAGGAGAACCAGAGAAAGATGGGCTCAAATTTTCTCTAAGTTGAGAGAAGAAAATATCCAGTGGATGTTTGACCGTTTCATCTCGAAAGATGTCATAGTACGAGGCGACAGAAAACTTGTGCTTCCTCTACCAGGTATTCGAGGTATCCGCCCATATGCGCCTATCCGGGTCCTGAGGTAGTTCGGAAGAAGACAAACTACACCCCCAGAAGCATACTACCGTATCTATGTGTTCGACATCGGGGATGATAGAGTGCCTGAGGCTTCAGAGATGCTGAGAGAATCTCTCTGAAACAGTTTCTCCAATAAAATCTTCATTACTGTAAAAAAGGTTGCGGCTAGAACTAAAGTGAATTGGTTGAGGTTATTTCTCTCTATATTTTGTACTCTCATGTTTATATAGTGGATTGCTCATCTCCTTTGTGGACGAACGTCGATTGACCGAACTACGTTAAATCTTTGTGTGTTTGTATATTTCTCATTTGTCTTCTTACTCGTGGTCTTTCGAGGTTTGCTTTGCTAGCTTCCGCATTACACCTGGTTATTTTTTGTCCTAACATTAAGATCATTATAGCACAATAGTGCGTGATTACAACCAAGTACATGTTAATTTCCACGTTATTAAAAATTGTTACCTAGAAAATTATATGGTAAAGTCTTAAACCTCCTATTTTATTTTCTCTTTGTTCGAACAGATCCATATGATTTCCTCACCCCATGATATTGTCGATTGTTGAAGGTGTATGAGTGCGATTTTCAGCTAGCGTTTGGTCATAGATTTCCAAATATTATTTGGGTGAAACTCTTGGTGAAATTTCACCATGTGTTTGGCCATAGTATTTGAGAAACATATTTCACTTTTTTATAAAAATATGATTTATACCCATAAGTTTTAAAAACTGTCAAAACTAATCATAAGTTTGTATTACAAGTCAATTGGATCTTCGTTGCAACAAAGAACAAGTGGTGTCTATGACACTAGAGCAATGTGGTAGTTTGGAGCGAGTGCAACAAGCATCATTCCATACATCGTGAAGTAGACAAAGCACATGACTGTTGGGAAATTGCAGACTAACACAAAAATATATATGGTCAAATGATAGAAATAAAATGGAAAAATAATGACACCAAAAATTTTACGTGGAAACCCTTCTAAATAAGGGAAAAACCATGGGCCAAGAGGATCAACCGATATCACTATAGTAAGGAATTTTACACCGTGTAGTAATGAATACAATATTCAAAGTGACTACTACACACTCAAAAAGAATAACACTCTTTTGATTTTCCACCTTACTAAAAATATCGTTCACACTCTATTTTTCTTCACAGACTATTTTCTTGTAAAGTCTATGGAAACCTCACAACTCTCTATATTTTTCTTTCTCTATGAATTGGTGTATCTCACAAATGAGCTAATGAGCTCCTTTTATAGAAGAAATTTGCAACTGCAAATTTCAACACCATACATAATATGTCAAAGTTGTGCCACCAAAAGTTTGTAAATGTGAGTTTTTCAACATTTGCTGCTATTGCAATTTGCCAACCATTGACAATTGCATGCAGCAATTGTTGAAGTCAATGATGGAATAGTGGGGCTGGACCCTAAAATCTTTCCTTCCAGTCCCATTCACTGGAAAGAGGTATCTTCATATTCTTTAGAGAGAGCTCATACCCACAAGTTCTTTGCATAACTCGAACTTGTCTTTCGATATCGTCTTGGTCATCATATCTATAGGATTTTCACTTGTGTGGATCTTTTTTTACGTGAAATGATTCACTTTCCACTTTCTTACGAATCCAATGATATCTGATGTCAATGTGTTTTGTTCTTGCATGGTATATGGAGTTCTTGCTCAAGTCTATTGCACTCTGACTATCACAATAGACAACATACTCCATCTGTTGCAATCCAAGTTCTTGAAGAAATCGTTTTAGCCATATCATCTCCTTGCCGGCTTCAGTAGCCGCAATATACTCAGCTTCAGTTGTAGATAGTACAACACACTTCTGCAACTATGACTGCCATGATATAGCTCCCCCTGAAAAAGTAAACAAATATCCAGTAGTGGATTTTATGTTATCAAGGTCACCTGCCATATCAGCATCTGTATAAGCCTTCAAGATTGGATCTGATGCTCCAAAACACAAACATTCATCTAAGCTTCCTCTAAGTTATCTGAGTATCCACTTCATAGCTTCCCAATGCTCTTTTCCCGGATTGTCGAGAAATCTGCTGACAACACCAACTGCATGAGCAATATCAGATCTAGTGCATACCATTGCATACATTAGACTTCCGACGACGGAGTAATATGGAACTTTGGCCATGCTCTCTTTTTCCTCCCTAACTGTAGGACACATCTTCTTGCTCAACTTCATATGACCAGTAAGAGGTGTACTAACATGCTTAACATTCTTCATATTGAAGTGCTCTAGTACACGTTCAATGTACTTCTTCTGTGACAAATAAATCTCTCTTTCATCTTTGAGACGAGTAATTCTCATCCCTAAAATTTGCTTGGCATGACCCAAGTCTTTCATAGAAAAAGACATACACAACTCTTTCTCTAACTCGTCAATCTTGGAAGTATTCTTGCCCACAATTAACATATCATCCACATACAATAAAAGGATGATAAAATCATCATCAGAAATTTTTTGTACAAATACACAATGATCTGATGAAGTCTTCTTATAGCCTTGATCCCCTATAACAGATTCAAACTTCTTGTACAACTGTCTAGGAGCTTGCTTTAGGACATATAGACTCTTTGTGAGTTTGCACACAAAATTTTCCTTACCATATACTTTGAAGCTCTCAGGTTGTTCCATATAAATCTCTTCTTCTAGGCCACCGTGAAGGAAAGTTGTCTTCATATCCATCTGCTCAATCTCTAAATTAAGACTAGCAGCCAAACTCAGAACTGTACGAATCGAGGACATTTTCACAACAAGAGAAAATATTTCTTCAAAATCAATACCCTTCCTTTGACCAAATCACTTAACAACCAATCTAGCTTTGTACCTGGGCTTCAAGTTGTGTTCTTCAACTTTAACTTTGAACACCCACTTGTTCTTCAAAGCTCTCATGCCCTTGGGCAATTTTACCAACTCATAAGTGTGGTTCTCATGCAGAGACTTCATCTCATCTTGCATGGCTTCAATCCACTAATCCTTGTGCTCATCTTCCATGGCCTCTTTATAACATTCAGGTTCTCCCCAGTCAGTGAGTAACACATACTCATTGGGTGAATAACGAGAGGAAGGAACTCGATGTCTTCTGGACCTCCTAAGCAGAATATTTGATTCGTCCACAACTTTATGAGCATGTGGATCATCAATAACAATATCATTAGTATTATCAACCATCAACAACCATATCATCACTTTCATATTCTCTGAATATTTGATAACTATTTTGGTGTTCGTAAAAAATTATGTAATACAACGCAAACAACTACTATAGAGGGTGTTTTTGTAAAAGATAAAAGTTTGGCGTAAAATTTCAATTTTAAAAAGATCTCAAATAATGAGATTTGACCCAAATACTAGAAAAAATTAGTATTTGAAAATTTGGGATTTTTGCCAAAAATATTTACCAAATAATGGCAAATTGTATGGACAAATATTATTTGCCAAATTTTTCCCCAAATATTACTTGGAAAATCTATGGCCAAATGGGTCCTCAATCTCATTTTTGTAAGTTTGTTAACCTTGTCTTAACCTAAATAATACTTATCTGTTTTGTTCACTGTTTGTTTGTTATTTTAGTGTATGTCGAATTTTAGGATTTATAAATTTTACAAAAATTGTCTGTGATTTTGCTTCTTTTTTTTTTTTTGGGTGTTTGACGGAATCGAAGAAAGTTATTTTTTTTTTGTGGTGTGATGAAATTGGAGAAAGTTGAAATCTTTTTTTCTTGGTATTTGATGAAAATAGAGAAGATGGAAGATTTGTTTTTTTTTTCTTTTCTTTTTGAGTGTTTTATGTAAATGAAGAAATATTAATATTTTTTTCTTATGTGAGTTTGATGAAATTGTAAAAAATAATAATATTTTTTTCTTAGTGTTTGATGGAATTTGAAAAAGATTATTATATTAATGAGCGTCGAGATTTGTGGATCTGATTAGAAGATTAAGGAGGAGGAGAAAATGTTGTGGAAGTGATTATTGAAGATAAATATAACAGAACAAATGATTAAGCAACAACAATAAAATTTAAAAAATGAAGAAAATTGATTGATAATGAAGGATCTACACAAGTAAAAGGACCTTGAAAGAAATTAATGAGAAACAAAATAAATTTGGAGAGAAAAATCAAACGAGAGGCAAAAATTGACTAATTGGGGAAGAAGATGCATGTTATAGAGGTCAAAAGTGATCAAAAATAATTTTTCAATAGGCCTTACGGGCCAAAAATATTTGTAACACACGCACATTAGACAAAAATGCTACATAGAATGGCAAATAAGAAAAGGGTTTAAAATATTATTTAATAAATTTAAAAGTTCGGTTTATACAATAGTGAGTAAAAACATTCAACTGGCAAATGGAGTCAAGTACAAAGGTCTCTTGATTATTCGGTCAATAAAATTATGATGTATATTTTAATCTTTTTAAAACAATTTGGTCTAACTTGTCCCATCGAAATTCGCACTCTTAAGAAATTATAAATTAGTATATTTTTAATTGTTTTATTCTTGTTTCTTGTTTTATACCAGTGACTAGTGAGTGAGGAAAAATTGTGTTATGCATGAGTGCAAAATTTATTTATAAATTTATTTTATAAATAGTGTTAATTAAATAATTTTAAATTTTTTATCTAGAATAAATTATATATATTTGTGTGATAGTAAATTAACTCATTTAGTGTAAAATGA